CAAGAGCCCTCACTGACCGCGCCTGATGGCTTTCCAGGATGCGGATGACTTCAAAGGCCGACTTAAAGAGAGCGGCATCCTATGAGACCGGACCCGGTTTGCGCATACGAACACATGCTGTACGGCGTTATTGGAGTATGGGCGTAGGCAGCACGGCACACAGTCGTGCGTTGCGACACGGTTCATCCGCTTCATTGCTAAAGATCTTCTCAAGGGCAGGCGTCGGAGCAACACGATATCACACGGCGCAGGGAGTCGGATCATCTGGAGAACGCACTACCTGCCATCCTGCCTTGTAGAGCGGATGGCGGTAGCTGTACTCTATCTACTACAATTCAAACACCTCGGACTGGCGGGCTTGCTCGACACAGCTAGGTTTGACACAAGTGGCTCATGGGCTCGAACGTGATTACACATCATGATATCGAGACTTCACCCTTGATAGACTTGATCATTCTCTCTTGTTGCTTTCTTTTTCCTTTATGCTGGTTTACTTACCTTATCCATCTAGCTACAGGTCTCCACACCACCTAGGCACTGCACATCGTGACAGCAATTGGTTCGGATCAACGTTTGGTCCTTCGTTCAGAACCTTGACATGCATACATCAAATGAAACGCTGCCGAATCCATCTGGGTTCATTGCCAGGCAGCTTCCTGTCCTCCTTCACGTGCTCGAACAACATCAGATGACATGCTCAGACATATTCGGTACTAAGCACAACTAACATCATCGCTCAACACCAGTCGCCTCTCGCCAACTACCCATTCGGCCTTATCGGCAGCTGTTGTTGGTTGAGGGCTTGGTGTCGCATCGACCAATCAGGAAGGAAGACCCGACACACATGCCGCTGTTAGCTCGGCGACACCGCCAAGCTGACCTTCTCCGCAATCGCGACCACGTCGTAAGAGCGACACCGACATCTCACACCACATCTACACCCAAGCCATACATATGTCCACTGCCTGCTAGACGACTGTCTGGCCGAACAACAGTACCCTCTCCTCTCTGCAGCCAGCCTAGAGTCGTGTTTACTGGTTGTATCGGTTCGCGCAGGCTACCCCCTCCCGACCAACACATCACCTCCACCAGCAGCTACGGCCCGCTGAAGTACTCTCTTATCTCAAAGATCCTGGATCATACGCGACATATTCTATAAGAAATATTCAGGCAATAGGAGCCTACAGCAAGCACAATGAAGGTACGTACACGATGCGATAAGGCTGGAGGCTATGACGCAGCTAACCCGGTGGGACCGCAGTACCTCGATTTGTGCGCCCTCCACGAGGTCAACCTCGCTCTCAACTTCGACACGCAAGATACAGCCATCATCGGCGGATGCGATCTGTGGACGATAAAAGCAGCCGGTAGCGACAAGAAACTATACAAGCGCATCGAGCGGACGCTCGAGGAGCGACACAAGGACTTGCTGTCGGCGGTGGCAGGGCTCTCCGAGCAATCTGCCGCTCAGTTTGCAGACCAACTCGATGTCTCTCGAGACACACCATTCGGAACCTTCAGCGAAGCCGCGAACCGTCATACATTTGCCTACCTGATCGCGACGCTCAACGCAACCCACATCGATTACGATTTTGCCAATACACTGAATCCGGACGAGTTCCGTCGCGAGACCATACACAGCTTCATGCACAAGATCGACACAACAATGTACTACCTCCGCCCACAAGTTTACTCTGCAGGACTACCAGCAGGCGCAGTCACACCGCTTGGCTCACCGATCTGGAGTCCACGGAGTTGGCACCTACTTGACAGCGAGATGGAGATGTCAAACTGCGAATACTATGCATGGGAGCCTTCAGATGACCCATTTGCTGACGACGGCGCCATTTGGAGTCACCACTTTTTCCTGTACAACAAGGAGCGTAAGCGAGTCGCATACTTCTACCTTCGCGGAGTATCTGCTCTATCGAACTCGCCTAGTGTCGCCATGTCGCTCATGTCCAAGTTCAAAGCATCGAAATACGAGTCCAGCGCCAACGCAGGAAGCAGGAAGCGTGCCGAATACTGGCTCGGTGACCGTGCTAGAAAAGGACTCGAGGCATACGGAGACAGTGACGAGCTCGACAACATGGTCATTGATCACCCCGGTGATGTTGTCGACGCTGAACAACAACGGTACCTGCCAGCCAGAGAGATGAGCATGGATGCCGAATACTACGAGAGTGAGGACGACAGCGATGTTGAGTCACTGGTCGACCGAGAGAGGGCTGTGAGCAAGATACGGTCGATGAGCGAGTGCGCTATGGAAAGGATGGAGGTCTGAGCTCCCATCCGTCTTCGTCGGCCGCCGCCACCTTGAACCAGGTGGGATTGATGGCACTCAACATGCCAAATGGCTCTCACAACGAGCCTCATTCTCCTTGTTTGATTTGCAATGCGGCATTTGAGGCGTTATGTGGTTTGTCTTTCTTTCTGTTTTTACAGTTGTCTGGCATCTCTTCACCGGCTCGTGAGAAGACGACCATGACTGACACAAGGCGTTACGGTCGGTGGGAGCGATCGCGTCATAACGTCCTTGTTGCATATCGTCTGAGCCTTGAGATACCCCCTTGTCTATGTGTTCTTTTCTGTTAAACTGTTTGCGTTTGTTAGCTGTTTGCGTATTTGACAAATGGTGTAGTGATGGATCACTGCAAATGATGGGATGACATGGTCGGGTGACGAAGGTGTACACGACATTGCGGTTCTAATGGTGTATTACAATGTTCATCAATTAACAGTAGCCTCCAAATCTCAACTTGAAAGTGTCATGTGTGGGTACGCAGACAAAGACACATCACACTTCACACGTTGCACAAGTGACTGCGTCTTGAAGTCTGGAACCCAATGTTTTCAGTCTTAGCTTGTCTGCCTTCCATCCGTTTCTAAAATTCAGAGATTCCAATAGCAACCACGCGATATTGGACGAGTCATGTTGAACTAATATATCTTGCTGGCCACAATGTACACGTCTCCTGCCAGCGCGAAGTTTGACAACTGGAAGTCTGAGCCCTATGCACTAAGCACGTTGATTAATCTCGTGTTTCGCTTGTTGCACACCGCGTGCAGTGTCATGTAGTGGTCACGACTGAGGTGTTCGCAGCATAATAGTGGGCTGAGTGCTTTTGATATGGCAGCATAGGAGAAATACGACGTTCAAAAGTGGCGTATATATTTTATTCGTCAAAGCAAAGACGGCCATGCCAGTGCCGCACTGTTATTTTGGGAAAGAGAAGGGAAAGGCCATTATCTGTTTCCCATATATATTCGATGAAAATCCCTCCCCAGAGTATGGTGGAAAGTGAAAGTAGGAAGGGATCAGGAGAGAGGTAGTATTCATACCACTAACGCGGAGAGGTTTCAGGTGCCTATATATATATGAAGCTCTCATTTTTAGTTTCATGAGAAAGCCAACCGAAGCTTTTTTGTGCAGCTCCGAGGTGAGGAAAAAACATGTACGAGGATACTCCAAGTTTTATCGAAACAGCGCCTCGCTGCTCATGAAATTATCCAAGAAGATTCTTGAAGCCAGGCACACATACTTGTTGAAGTTTTGGGGTTTGGAAATAAGAGGAGAGTGTTTGATAGAGAGGAAAACGAGGAGCAGCCGAGGAGAGAGACTTTGTACTAAGTCGTGCACTCGAGTATGTACTTGAAGTCGTGCCGCGCACGCCTATATTGCTCTATATTATTCCTTCCTATCCACAGGAAGATGGTACTGCACTCAATGCTATCCCAGTAGCTTGAATCTCGGAACAAGGCATCTGGACTTCGCAAACTTACTCCAAAATCATACTGGTGCGTTATTTCTTTTTGGAAATTGGACCAAGATAGCGAACCGCACATGAACCGGGTCAGAGCAGATTTGTTAGTTGTTGGAATGTAGGTGCTGAGTAATGGATACACGGGATAATGTAGAAGAATGTTTATATTGCTTCTAACCGAGCAAGGCCAATTCGACTTACTCCATTGCACATGGGTTTAAATTGGTGTGTTTTGGAAATAAACACGCTCATGAAAAGCATTTCGTTGTCCTTTTGGAGTAGAAAGGGACACACACATGCCATGTGGTGTCCGGCGTTTTGGTGAAAACACATCGAGTGGTAGTGATAACAAAGAGGGCAAGACTGATATGGGAAAGGTAGCTTTTATGCTTTGACCCTTCCAAAGTCGTAAACATTACTTAGAAAGTACCAGCTATTTCATAATGTCCGACAAGCGTATGACATAGCCCTTGGGAACCATTGTTCGCGACTTACGTCGACTCATAGAAGGCATAAGAGCTGCATTTGAAGCAGTGGGCGGAACCATGCATACATGGCATCTATTGTCTTGAGAAGAACACGTAGCAATGCAGTGCAGACACAACTGCCATGTCTTCAAGCTGTTCTGCTTTTGATGATTACGATGATGGGTAGTCAATGCTAATAGTCGCGTATTTTTGATTGTGCAACTTGAAGATGACCAAAGGACGACATCATTCGACTAAGGATTAGAGAAAGAAAAGGCACATGTATGCTAACTCTAACAGCTTGCATGGAGAGAGCAGCAGCATCAGATACCGCATTTGTGTTTCTGGAAAAAAGATAGGCTCGTCGATAGGAAGGTAGAGTGGCGGCAAGAGCAGCTCTACATGTAGAACCAGCAGGTTGTAGTACCAACATCTCTTCCAAAGCTGGGCCACAACACACCATCACCATGTGAAGTCAACACTCGTTATTTTTCAATGTGTTTGTATTTCTTGATATATACTGAGATACTCAAACAAAGTGAACAACAAAAAAGCAGGACGCCAAGTCGAACAAAAGTCCGACCAACTCCCATCAAAAGTCGGTCCCGAAACCACACTATGCGACTTGGGTTAAACAGAAGCCAAATCTATCACAATAACGTTGCCCGCGCTGGGTCGTTGCATTACTCGATCCGACCGAAACCCAAAAAGAGGGTATACATGTTGAAGCGGAAAGAAACACTCGAAGCTCTATCGTAGCAAAACACTCTTACAAGATAAGAGCACCGCCGAAGAGCGAGGAGGCGAGGACAACGGCACCGCAGACGAGAGGAGCGAAGCTGAACTCGGGGCGGACGGAAGCAGCGGCACCAGCAGAGCCGGAAGCGCTGGCACCACCGGTGGAGCTGGGAACGACACCGCCGGAGGTGACAGCACCGTCACCAGCACCGGCGAGGTTGGTCTCGGAAGAACCAGCCTGCTGGGAGCCAGAGCCGGAGAGACCAGGGCCGTCGCCAGCACCCTTCTTGAAAAGGTCGTTGGCGCCAGAGGGAACAGCAGGGAGCTCGTCGCTCTTCATGGTGACATCCCAGGTCTTGGACTGGTCGGGGCAAGTGGCGGGCTGGCCGTTGGACTTGTAGCCACCGTCGCCAGTGGGGTTCTTGGTGGAAGAGAAAGCCTCCTTGAGGGCCTTGAAGTCGTCGCGCTCAGTGACGGAGTCGCCGTTGATTTCAACAAGTCCGTAGTTGGAGTCTTCCTGGGAGTATTCGTAGACGAGACCTCCAGAGTAGACGCCGGTCATGTCGGTGCTGTAGAGAGACTTGACCTCCTCGAACTTTCGGGTTCCCTTGTTGCAGCCGTATTCGGAGAGGAAGATAGGGATGCTGTAGTTGCCGAACTTCTGAACCTTCTGGTCCCAACCAGAGGTGGTGTAGGAAGACGGGTCGCACCAAGAGTAGTCGTTGAAACCGAAGAAGTCGCTGCGAGCGGCATCGTCACCACAGTTCATGTAGTCGGCCATCTCGTAGCGGTTGCTCTCGACATCAGCGGCAGAGTAACCGACAGGAATCTTGCGGAGACCGCGAGCGTTCATGTAGGACTTGATGTCACGGGTGACAGCCTTGACGTAAGGAGCACAGTTGGTGGTCTTGTCGTCGTTGATGACCTCGTTGGCGGAGAAGAACAACAGTGTGTTGTCGTACTTTGCGAACATCTCGACGGTAGCGAAGATGCTCTGCAAGTAGACCTTGTTGTACGACTTCTGGGGCTCGGCACGGTTGATGGAGTACTTGGGGGTGTTGAGGTCGAGAGCGAGGTAGATTCCGGCATCGGCGAGGAGACCCATGCAGGTGTCGTGGTTGGCGCTGTTGTCGACAGTGTAGATGCGGACGGTGTTGATACCGAGCTCCTTGAACTTCTCAATGTCGCGCTTGCAGCCAGCCTCGTCAGCGATGGGGTCCTTCGCATCGGAAGCGCCACCGGGCTGGTAGTCAACACCACGGATGTAGAAACGCTCGTTGCCAGCAAAGAAAGCTGAGTGGTGTTAGTAGGCGATCGTCATGGTAATAGGTGGCGTGACATACCATTTCCCTTCACAGTGACGGGGGTGATGGCGCGCTTCTGGACAGCGGCAGTAGGGGTGGCCGCAGCGGAAGCCGCGAGAACGGCGGCGATGGCAAAGGTCTTCATGATGGTCGTGTGTGAGTTGATGATATTACGGTGGGCGGGCGTATGGACAATTGGTGTGAGCGATTGTTATAAAGCGATTGTCGGATCGTCAAGTAAACAAATACAGTCTTTGAAGAATGCAACTCCCGTGAAACGAGTGTAAGAAGTTGCGATTAGAAAAAGGTAGGCAAGGCAAGAAGCACTTGGTTCGTGAGATGAAGAAGAAAGGTCAAACCAAGATTCCAGGGAAAACAAGCAGGTTAAGCACTGTTTGAAGAGGGAGGCGACGCGTCCAATTTCCTAGTGGAAGGCGCCTTCCCTTTCTGATTCGTTCTTTCCCCGGTGGGGATCGCTCCTGCATCGCCCGGCTGGAGGCAAGCAGCGCCAACCCCTGAACAAGCCGCACCAAGCCCACATCCAAGGAGCCGCCAACGCCCACCGGCCCACCTCAAGCCTAGCTAAGAAGAATGGCTCGCCGTGGCGATCATGCTTGGATGGACTGCAGTGAAGGACGCTGAAACACGCGTCTGCCGTCAATCATTCACTGAGTCTGTTGCGCAGACACTGGCGATCTGTATCAAACGGGTTCAACGCATGTCTTTGCCCCATGCTGCGCAGTCTTGCTGCCGAAATGACGGCCCACGGCTAAGATTGGATTAATGACGACATGTGGGTGCATCGTGTAACTGCTGCAGCATGGCTGGCTGGTCCATTGCTGGTTGCTTCCGAAACGGCGATATCTGCCTACGGTTTTGTTGTGAAACGAGGCAGTCGGTCCGGACCTTTGCACCGTCTTGACATCACGACGCTAGGTCTGCTCGATTTTTTAATCGTAGCCCGACGAATCATCATCATCTGCCGTATTTGAGATGCTGGCGCTGGGAATGCGGGTTTTTCGCAATCGGCTAGTTCGCCATCTTATTATTAGAGCATCGGTCAACCTCCTCAACACGACGTCCAGCCATCGCACATGAGAACGACTTAAGCATGAACATGAAAGCACCACCCTCAAGCAGTCGGACCTTTGACTGCACTGCCATCATCTTTATCGAAAATACGTGCGCCCGGTCTGGGTTATTGACAATGCTCGCGCCAGCGGGATCTAGAAGATCATTAGTGGTTCAGCCTCAACATGTTGGGAAGGCGGTCTTTGTTTTACGAGCTTTTCGCCATCATACCATTAGCGCTAATACCTATTCCCTTGCCGACTCCCGTTTATACACATGCGGCGTTGCTGCGGAGTACAGCTCCGGATCATTACTAATAATAAAGAAAAAGAAGTTCATCCACTTCCCCATACAAATCCCCATACAGATACAGAACGATAGTCCCAATGATATCACGTCCCTTCCCTCCTCTTAGGTCATTACAATGCTCTCGCTCCCGCCGTGCTCTATTTGTTCTTCAATCCAAAGTACAATCCAAGTACCAGCGCAATAACGCACAGAATCAGGACGACTGTCAAGAGGATCCACCACTTGAGCCTTCTCGCGCGCCTAGCGGACTTGATTCCCTCGTCCAACTGCTTGTTCGCATTCTCGGTGTCGTCCTTGACCTGCACAGTTTGCTCCTCGGTCCGTTGGATGATGGGCTCTTGGTAGACGACCTGCTCGTTGAGCTGGGTGAAGAGAAGGGCAAGCTCGCCCATGGTCTTCTCGATGCGCTGGATGTCGTTGTGACGGGCGCGGACGGCGCCAAGAACACTTGAAGCTTGGCCACTGCGGTTGGATTTGAGCTGTTGGGCTGTTAGTCATGTCCTGGAGCCACGCGTGACCTTTGCCAACTTACAGCTTGTGTGAAGATACCCTCGTCGCCTAGGTCCGAGTTTGCGATCTCGTTGACCTCGGCATCCGTCGCATCCGGGTTGATGATGCGGTACTGGCGCCCGACAGCCTCACGATACCTCCTAGAGTACTCTGCCTCCTCTTTCTGGAAGTCCTCCAGCTGCGTCTTGAACTGCTTCTTCAGCGCCTCAACCTGCGTCCTCTTCATCTTGTCGTTGGGGTCGCGGACGGCATCTCTCTCCAGAAACTTGATCTCGTCCTTGATTTGCGTGTTCCTGATCTGAGTGGTGGTTACGATGCTCTCGAGTTCGGCGGTGGAGCGGTTATCGGGCGATGACAGCATGCGCTGGTGGACGCTCGCGATGGCTTGGATGTCCGAGGTGAGCTGGCCGATGCGACCCTTTGCGCCTTCGATGCGCGCGAAGAAGTCATCGCGATTGAGAGGCTGTGGTCCTGGCGCCTCCATGCCGGGGTTTGCGCCGTAGACACCGCCATTGTTCATTGGCACGTCGGTGTGAGGAACATTCTGCTGCTGCGTGTTGGGCTGGCTCAGCGCACCGGCTTGCGAATATTGCGACGGCTGCGAGTAGTTGGACTCGCCATGGCGTTGGAGCGGCGCGGGAGGGTTGAGCTGTTGTTGCGGCTCGTCATACTGCTTGGTCGCGTCAGTCTTGTCAATTCAGGCCGCGCAGGTGCGACTGCTTACTCCTCCGCCATAGGGGTTGGATGAGCCGTAGCCGGTGCCTCCATATGGGTTTGATTGACCGCCGTATCCAGCCTCGGCCTGGCCATACGGGTTGCCGCCGTACTGATCGTAGTTGTGCGACATGTTTGGTGTATGCTGGGATGGATTGACAGCGTTGGGGCGATGGTTTCGGAATGCCGCAGTGGAGCTGGAGCTTGGAGAACAGCCGCGGAAGCTACGGAATCCTGCGCTGACTGACGGGCGTGAGCGCGGCGAGTACTCCAGCAATTCTTCCGCACAACAAGGCTAGCGACGATGAAATGAACAGCGGATGCCTGTGCTTGGGGTAAGGCAATGCTCGAAAATCGATTAATTGCAGCGTGCCGCAACCTTGTTTTGATGTGGGTTGCGAGGGAAATTAAGATGAGACCCTGTTGAATCAGCCCAGCTCTGAGCCGCGAAGACCAACGTCACCAATGGGACAAGAACGGGCAAGACACGCCCTTAGTCATCGCCGGCCATGATCGCGTGGCTCTAGCGTGCTCTCCCGCGAGGCGCAGCATCATCGTCTCCATCGCCATCGTGCTGCAGAGCAAGGCAGCCGAATTTTGAGCTTCCTCATTATATGCTTTCATGCTTCCAATATTGTGTGTTGTTCGCGCCTAAGCCCATGGAACATACCCAGGTATGTACGAGGCTTCAGCGTACCTAGCTCTCGGTCTTGTCGCCCAAGGCAATACGCCGAATGAGGTAATGTCAGATGCCGCTTATGAACTCCCGCGCTCAACGGATACTCAATGCCTATAATCAAGTGCGAAATGATACCCGTGTACTCAAAAGAGACGATCGTGCGAGCTTGCGCCTATGACTGCGCCTACCAGCATACTGCAGTGTCAGCGCTGCGCCTGCGTTCTAAGGCATCCGTTCGCAACAACGACCCTTTTCGACAAGCGTCAATGGCAAAAGTTCACTTTTCGTTGTGCGCGTTAAGTAATCATGTAGGATAAGAAAAAGAAAACATATACAACGAATAATGAACAGTCTCTCCCTGTAACGACAGACAGTAATTCTACTAATTCTCCCCTCCGAAAGTGGACAAAGCCATCTATGCAACACCTACCATGTCCACTGCTTACGCCCAAAACATAGTATCGTCCAGATTCGGATCCCAAGGATTCATCCGATCCTATTCTTCGAACTTGTAGAAGCCTGTCTTTATCTTCTTGAACACCAATTCCGCCAGCTTCTCCTTGATATTCTTCTAATCAGCCTTCTCCTTCTTGCTGTTCCAGTCCTTCTTCTCAATCTCCGGCGTTGATTCGATCAGTACATTACGCACCTTCTCGGTACGAAGCTCCTTCTCTTTCTGTTGAAGTTCATCTTCGAGCCGCTGGTCGTTCTTATGGCATAGTCCCGGATATACATCCGACTCCGGTCGCACAATCTGTCAGCGTAGTAGCTTGGCGAGGCGTAGGACACAGTGCAGAGAGCGCGGACATATGAGTAGCAGATTCTGTGAGTCAGCTCAAGAATTCTTTGAGCGTAAGACCTCCTGGGATACTATCTTCAAGGATGAAGTAATGGGTATGCTTTGCAGTACCTCTGTAGTAGATGATACTTTAAGGTAGTTCGCCGTTTGCTTGCCCTTTCATCCAGGCTTTGAGTCGTTCGTACACCATCTGTTTAATACAGCTACTCGCCTGCGAAGTTAGCGAAATCAGAATTGGGGACAAGGCCTATACATACCTCGCGGTCAGTCTAGTCCACTTTCTGCCGTCAAGTCATCTCAGCACCATGATGCGAGTCACCAACATGCGCAATGGGGTCCCATCAATCAGAAGGCACTCATGTCAGAACTGCGACTCACGCTAAATATTATACTGGATGTTGAAGGCCAAACATGGCCGATCACCGCCCAACGCCCCTGACCCTAATGTCTTTCCAGAATCCTTTCAACCACCATAGCCAGTGTAAGAGATCGCAGGATGCTAGACACACAGAAAAACTAAAACCTATCCACCAATCTAGGCATCACCTCCTGTCGCCCATCACCCAATTCAACCATCTCTCTCACTTGGAAACGGGGTATACGCCCTCCTCCTTCCACCACCTAACAAATGCGCAAACTCCGGTGCCACAAATCCCCTATTACTCCCTCCACCACCTACCGGCATCGGTACCGTATACTTCGTATAATCTCCATTGCTGCCATAATTGATACGCTGACCATATGCATCAACCGTCGGCCTACCCATCGCTCCATTGAACATAGGCCTGTTATGGTTGACGCCCATTCCTCTAGGTTGGCCCCTCGATCTCCTCTCGACTTCCTCCCTGTCCTTGATCTTTTGCATACGAGCCACCTCGTGTTTCCGCAACTCTTCGGCGTCATGGTGAATAGAGCCACCGATAATACCATACGTGGTTAGGGGAGCGCTGATGGACGGTAGGTTTGAAGCACCACGGACATACCCATCATCAATATCGCCACGGACTTCTAAACCACTTACTTCCCCAGTCAACAAACCCATCGCTTGCGGTAGCATTCCCATCGGCATGCCCATTTTAGGTTTTCCGTACCAAAAAGGTTCGATGTTAAGGTGTTGGGCGCGCGCCTTTTGCAGGGTTTTGTTAGTGTCGAAACGCTCTTCCCAAGAGAGGAGGGTGAGGTCACGGAACGCGTGACGGAAAGAGCGGGAGGCAGTTGCGAAATCGCTGTTCCGTGGGCATAGTTCGCCGTTGTAAGGGAGTTCTGGGACTGGTGTAGGTTTGGTGACGAGAGAGAGGAGGCGGGTGGCTTCAGGATGCTGGACGTGTTGGTGTGAACCGTCGTCGTTCACTGGTGGAACTTTGGCAGGCTTGTACTGCACAAGTGCCCAGTACACATGCGGCTTCGTGTGACTCTCCAAGAGTCCGATGTGGTAGTTCGCCATTGAAGACTCGCCGCCACGTACAAGGACGATCTTGTACTCAAAGCCCGTGACGTCTTGGTAGTAGTGATAGTCCTCTTTCCAATGAGAAATTTTAGCTTGTGGTACTTTCTTGAGGGATGAACAAATAGGCTTGGGGTTTGGAACGGAAGAGCTCGGAGATCGGTTGGCTGGGCTTGTGAAGTCATTGATAGTTTCGATTGGAGCACTCTCCCGTTCTGCCCTCCTACGCAAGAGATCCTCTTTTGCAGATACGAAAGGAGTTGGTGGGACCACCAAAGAAGAGGTAGAGAAAAAGAAACTCTTGCTCTTCCTGGGCTTAACAACAGCAGATTTCTTTGACGTACCTGATCCAGTTAACTCCTTGATCTTCTCGCATCCTTTCCTGAACTTACTGCCATCTGACAAGGTACCCAGCCTTTTGAGCTCTTTCTTCTTTCTCCTCTCTTTCGTCAACACCGTCCAGGTATATTTCTTAGCACTCAGCTTCCTCCTCCCCTGGAGAGAGTCGTCGAACCAGTCATAGCTGACTACATGGATGCCTAAGTCGGTGGCTTGTTGAACAGCATCGGCGGGCTGCTTGTATGCTTCTTTGCTGGCGATGAGGTGGGTGACGCTCTTGGTGATCTTAGCAGAGTATTTACCGCCGTTTCGCTCGATCCAGCTTCTCATCTGCTTAGCATCGTGAGGGAGTGTGCCAACAAGGGCAATAGTTAGCTTGTCTAGAATACCCATTCTGGTATCGTCGCTGATGTGGGACGTAGGAGTATTCGTATGTAAACTCGATGGCGAACGAGAAAAAGGTTTTGTGATATCCGGATCGGGGTTCAAGAACTGGCGCGAGGCGGGCTGATCTTACCTTTTGGTGACACGCAGCAGTCTATGTGATATAGCGTTTGCTCGGGCCATGCGGCTGTCTTCGCGAGGTAAGAGGCACTGATCGCGGCGCCTTTGCAGACCGCTGTCTCTAGAGACGCAGCCCATCCTTCCCGTAACATGTGATTCTTAGATGAAGAGAAGACCTAAAGAAGAACGTAAATCATTCAAGGAGATACCATGAGGCTGTGAACAAAGTGCGTTGTATTTGATGAATTCCAGCTCCCGTTTTAGAAGTAGTATTTTAGACATTCATTCTGATGCCTATTGCTGGTTCTTAGCTGCCTTTATGAAGGCGCGTATCTTGTCTAGACTTTGCTGTCCGTCTTCTTCGACACCGCTGCTGACATCCACAGCGTGAACGCGATCCCGGTACTCGTCGAGTCCAGCGAGCATAGACTGTACGTTGTCAGGGTTCAGCCCACCTGCTAATATGACCTTGATCCCATCGTCTTTTGCGAACACCGCTTTGACGTCGGAGAGATCCAGTTGCTGGCCTGAACCTCCAGAGCCTGCATCCAGGAGTGGTAGAGCGTGATAACCTCTTGAGCCGATTCCAAGGTTTTGCGGGTTAAAAGCTCGCAGAACAGGTACAGGAACCAGCTTTGCCCACTCTAGTGGCTCTTGACCATGAAATTGTACAACGTCTAGGCTGAGCAATCGCTGCTGCTCGAGCACATATTCCAGTGATTGGTTTCGGAAAACTCCTACAAGAAGCGCACGACTGTCGTTTGATACCAACCGCGATGCGCCGTGCTCAAAGAAATCAGACGCAGCCTTTGAATCAGCAAGCAGCCCCGACTTTGAGACAATCGGCTTTTTAGTCTTGTGTACCATTTCCGAGATGGCAAGTGCTGTCTCCGCTGTCACTGTTCGCTTGGTTCCTGGCGCCAGTATCATGCCGATGAGATCAGCTCCTGCCTCGACTGCAGCCTTTGCGGCCTCTGCACTCCGAGTTCCGCAGATCTTTACCATCGGGCTTGAGGCTGTTTGCGCCTTCTTTGTAGATGAGCCACCCAAGAGCTCAGCAATGAACTGAGCAGTGTCAGATGCGCGCATCAACGCTTCACCCACCAAGACTGCACCGACTCCGCTCTTGATGTATGGTTCGACATCTTTGGGTCCAGCGATACCGCTGAGCGCACACAAAATTGTCTCTTTTGGAACCATGTTGATTAGTCGATTAGTGGTCTCCATGTCGACCTCGAAATTGACAAGATTGCGATTGTTCACACCAATGACTTGCGCGCCCAGCTTGACGGCGATCTCCGTTTCTTCTGCGTTTTGGACCTCGACTAGGGGCTCCATTCCAAGTGATCTGGAGTAGTCGTAGAGCTTCTTCAGCACTGCCTCGTCAAGCATCTTGACGATGAGCAATACAGTATCGGCACCTGCGAGTCTAGCTTCCAAGATCTGATACTCCTCGAAGATGAATTCCTTGCGCAGGACAGCAGGACGGTTTGGCATGCCTTCCAAACTTTGACGAACTGCTTTGAGGTCGTCGATGCTTCCCTTGAACCACTCCGGCTCCGTGAGGACGGAGATGGTGCTTGCGCCGGCCTTTGCGTAAAGCCTTGCTTGGGCAGGAGCGCACGCAGACAAGGAGATTATGCCTTTGGAGGGCGATGCGCGCTTGATCTCAGCCATGAGCGATAGTCGGAACGGAGATTGCCTGAGACGCTCTGGGAAGTTGATCTGAGGAGGTGCTAGGTTAAGGTCGTACGAAGCTTGTAGGTCGCTAGGCCGTTGGGATGGGATCTTCTTCTGTTCCGCGACAGAGGCCCTACGGTGGTCGTAGATCTTCTCCAGTATGGATGTCTGCTTGTCCTTCTTTGCGCCATTTGTACCGTTAGCAGCAGCTCCGACTGCCTGAGCATGTGCCTCCTTCTGTAACCGCTCGTTCTCGGCCCAGGTACCTCCTTGCATCTTGAGGAAGTTCCTCACCATGAGGCGACCATCTTCGGTCAAGATACTCTCTGGGTGAAACTGCACACCCTCCATAACGTATTCCTTGTGTCGCACACCCATAATGACTTCCTTCACTTCGGCGTCTTCGTTCGCGGGTATCGTAGCGGTGACCTCGAGGCAGTCAGGGAGCGTTCCGTGGGTGCCAGCGAGCGAATGATAGCGTGTGACGGGGACATTCTGCGAGACGCCTGCAAAGACGCCTTTGCCGTCGTGTTTGAGAGGCGATGTTTTTCCGTGCAAGACCTGGCCTGTCACGTCTACCGTACCGCCGTAGCTATAGAAGATGCACTGTCTGCGCCGCGTTAGCACTGCCCCGCCTATTGTGCGCTCATACACCTTCAATTCCTCTTCCCGCCCTACAAAGAGAGCTGCAACAATGCTTGCGGTGATATGCCGTATGACACAAACAATCAGGACGACTCACTCTCCCATGCACACGCCGAAGATTGGAATCTTGCCGCTATAGTGCTTGATAGCCGCATTGCTAATGCCTGCATCGCGCTCTGGATGTCCCGGTCCGGGACTGATTACCAGCTGGGTAGGATTCTTTGCGATCAACTCTTCGACAGTGATCTCATCGTTTCGGTATACAGTCACGGTCGCGCCTTCGAAGACGAGGTATTGATACACGTTCCAGGTGAAGGAGTCGTAGTTGTCAATGAGTATAACGTTGGAAGCGGTCGGTATTGGTGGAGAGGGGGTGGGGTTGTTGGGCGAATGGTCAATCAATGCGAGGGCAGGCATGGTGAGTGGTTTCTTGCGCGAATGGCGCCTTTGGAGTCCGGTGGCTGCTATATAGCTTCGTCTGGGTAACTTTGCGGCGGTAAAATGACAGGAAGATTGCCGGTCCTTTGACGGCGAGGCAGTCGTGAGTATATTAGATGCCGATGAACGGAGCCCGCGCCGAGAAACGTGTGTGGACTTGGTGACAGGAACGTAGAAAAGGAACGAATGTCTAGGTACCAGGGTAGCGGGGTGACTCAATGATGCACTATTCAGATATTGAGGATGCGGAGTTAACACGGAGGTGGCATGGATCGAGGCTTAGTGCGACAGACGGTACATGGACGTGGACGCATCAATATGGGCGACCGGGCAATACTTTGCATACGAAAAGACATGCTCATGCTCTTGGTATTCAGGAAGAGTCGTTTTCTCTACATATCCAGCTGCTAGTAGGATATTGGGACTGCACTTGGCTGGGGCGAGTACTGCAACCTCAGGTGCAAGACCACGAGATGCAAATCTCACAAGACGGAGATGCAACAGCGATGGAATGGGTCTTGCACAGATGTGTCTTGTAGCGAGAAGCATGCGATGTCGTGTTCTGAAGTGTCCGCAAAGAAAGAGCCCTTGTGATGATCCCTGCACGTACTAGCTCGACTTTCGCGTGAGCTTTGGCTTTCGCGACTTTCGTAGACATTCACGCCAAACATTCGGCAACACCACCCCACGCCCATCCAGCACCTTCATGGCCTTTGGTTAGCTGACACTCTACTCGCGCACCGCAGCGCAACCATGGCCCCCATCCAATCCCCCGAGTTCGACCTGGGCAAGTGCCTCAAAGGCGAGCAGCAGCTTGTGTATGTTTACCTGCATTCAACGCAAGAAACTGGCTGACAGTACTAGAACCTGGGATATCGCATATCGCGCCCTCTGCGACCCCGAAACCGCGTCTAAAAGCGAAGCCCTACGCGCCTTCCTCACCTCCACCGATAACAAAGATATCCTCAGCCACCCATGGAAGCCCTTCGCCGACCCGTCGTCGCAAGAGAAGAGCAAGTTCGAGACCAACACAGCGCCCATCAAGATCACACCGCCCCAGAGCGAGCACTACAATGTAGAAGAAATAAAGGAAGACAGTCTGTGGCTGGCCAAAGAGGCGCAAATATCAGAATATGCAGCGCTGCAATTGGTTGTCCAAGAGTGGCAGGGCAGGCCGACTGCACAACTGTTGAGTGGACTCACCGAAGAGGAGGCCCTCAGCGTGCAGGAAGCCGCTGGAATGGGAAACCTAGGAGCCTCGACTTTCGTCCCGAACTCATCCATCCTAGCCTCACCGCTCGCCTCCAAGACGGCGCATCTCGACGCAAAGGACCAGCGTCGCCTCCACATTCTCGACGTCTACCATTCTACATGCGCTTCCATCATCCGAATAAGCCAGCTTCTCGTTTCATGGGGTTGCGCATCAAACTTGCGTAGCCAGACCATCTACGGTAACGACTACCTTAGCATTGGTGCCGGTTGGATTGAAGAGCTTGGGCAGGCCATTGCAGCGGCACAAGATGGACCTACAGGTGGAAAGGCGCTAGACGAGTGCCTGAAAGCATTCTCCAAGAGGTGTGACTCCCTGGACACCGGTTATGGCTGGAACGTCGACGATTCTATACTGGAAGCTGCCTCGGAGAAATGGGTCGTTGCGCAAACCACAGAGATGCTGCACATCCTGCATCTCGCCCTGGTGCACGCAGATTTGGTTGCCAAGGACTTCCTTCCTGCGGCTACTATCGAAGACTGGCTCAAGGCCTTCAGCTTCCGCGGCTTTTTCCGCGAGTTTCCTGCAGTCACAGCTCGCCAGGAACCTCTCATTCCAGTCATACAACTGCTGACTTCCCTTATGTCTTTGACTATCTTGAAGGTAGACAAAATCATGGACGATCTTGAGTCCGGCGACTGCAATACATGGGCCTCCTCATCCTACATTCTCAACACTGCTGTTGTAGAGAGCATCACTACCATATTCGGAGAAGCCAAGCTGCTGGGTGCTAGCCCAGCTACACCACCGACATTTGCCTGGGCAATCCTTACCTGGAAGCTCACAAGTCGTGCGAGTTACGAGGAACAAGAGCGTGATCGTCTGCTTGAATCGTCAAATAACACCGGAAACCCAG